CCAGCGCCTGCCAAGATGTAGGTAAATGGTATTAATGGCCAGCAGCAAAACCACCCCAAAAACCCAATCCTCAACCCCCAATCCAAGCACACGCCTCGTCCCTTAGGGGCGGGCAGCAGTTGTTGGCAAGCGTAACACAAAAATTGCTGCAATGCGACTTTTTCCGCTTTGGCTTTGGGGCAACTCGTGCAACGTGTGTGCGATTGTGTGTGTGTGTGTGTGTTGACTATAAACTAAATAACTGCTTTTCGTAGTCAAATATTGCAGCACAAATCACGCGAAAACAGCAGCGAGCTTTGCACTCGAAAAACTTTTCGTTTTCGAAGAATATAAAACAAGTAAAAACTGTTGCACATAAATACATTCTTTTAACTTGGCCCAGCTACCCACTACCCACTACCCCCACCCTCAACCCGCTCAGTCTCTGTTAGCCTTTGTGAGGCACCTCACAAATTGCCTCAAGGGGCGGGGGCGTGGCACACACTCGAGAGCGTCATCAACACATCGTGTACGTGACTTTGCCAACAAAAATTAACAATTTCATTAGTGAGATTCTTCTTTTTGCTGCTATGTTTTTTTTTTTGCGTTTTTTGTTTGTCTCTCAAAGGATCAGGCAAGGATATAGCCGCTTGACGTAGGCTAAAGGCACAAAACGAAAGAAAAAATGCCAGAGCTGAACGAAGTGCAAGCAGCAGAGGCAGCAACAACAAAAATTGCTGCCACTTATCAAACAGACGCTTCACACACACACACAAACATCTATACTTCCTGTTCCTGTCTGCGTGTGTGTGTGTGTGTAGAAACTAACGAACCGCGTCGACAAACCGTTCAAAGCCACGCCCCCTTTTTGGGCCAAGTGCCCTTTTCGCTCACTGCAGTCATTTACAATACATACATCTAAAAATACGTGCATCAAGTGTGCTTCAATTGCACTTCATTGCCTCACCAACACACACACACACCAATACACACACACACACACACACACATACACATAGACACATAAAATGCTTAGACACAAAGTAAATGAAAGAGCTACGATAAAAAAAAAGACTGGCTAAAAAAAAATGGTTAGAAAACTGAAGACAAACTTCAAAAACTCAGACGCCAGCAAGAGCAAGACAGAGGCGGCGATAGTGAGAGAGTGGGACAGGAAGAGAGCTAAAGAAGACAGATATAGCGACACTCTGCAGTTACACACACTCACACACACACACACTCGCACACACACACACTCGCACACACTCACTCGACAATCAATTGCCTAAAGTAGTTTAGTGAACATCAGATAAAAAGCCAAGGAAAAACTTTGGCTCCAAACTTGGTCCACCCTAATGAGACAAGATAAAAAACTATTTACTCTCTCACTGTCTCTCTCTCTCTCTCCTTCTCTGCCTCTCTATTGCTTGTAGCATTTGCTCAAGCAGCAAAATGACATCGTCAAGTGAATGTTTTACTAACTTGTTAGTTATATTTTTAGCTGTTGACTTCATTTTTATTACAGATATAAATATTAACTAAGTCGTGTTTCAGTCGTGTCAGCTAGCAGATCAGGACACGCTCTCCGCTCTAAATGAAAGACAATCTTCCATCACTAATTTGGCTGAGACAGTGCTTAATATTTCGATTTATTTGAGGAGGGAGCCAGGCGAGTGGCTCAGATAAGCTCAGCCTGTGCTTATAACGTGTCTCAAAAGGACGCAATGCAGTCATTTTCCACACACTCACACACACACACACACATACAGAGTGAATTTAAAATTGCCCTGGGTGTGTGTTAGCTGAGCATTCAGTTAAATCTGTCAAACAGAAAATACAAATACAAATACAAATATAAAATACAAACACAAAAGTACAGAGCAGCAAGCACAGCAAGCAGCAAGTACAAATCCAAAGTACAAGTAAATAATAAAATCAACTTGAAATTCCGTTCGGATTGTGTCCTCTCGTAATGTGCCTGAAATTGATTTTCTTTGCTGCCAGACAACAAGGAACAAGACACGAGGAACAGCTAGCAGCTAGTCGAGTAGGGAGCATGTAGGGGAACTCCTTTAAGCACACAAACACACACGTCGCTGGAGTGCATATCTCGAGGGCAAATATTTGGTCAAAATTCGTGAAGGTGTCGAAATGCTGTTTGAACTTCTGCTTCTGCTTCAACTTCTTATTTTTTTTCTTTTTGCCTGAATTTTATTTTTTGAGCACACACTTCTTGTGTGCTGCAAACTGATTTCGAAATTTATGCAGCTATCGACCTAAAAATTATTTTAAGTGCAGACAAAAAACCATGTTATTAAATACGATTCATTGAATTAGTTGAAAAGCCTGCAAAACATTTAACATACATTTAATTAACATCTTTATTTAGCTACGGGCAAATTGGCTTTATATTAATTATAAAAATGCAATGAATTTTTGTCTCAATGCTCGATTTCTATTCTATTCTATTCTCTAGTTGGCTTGAGTCCTGTAATTTCAGATTTGACTTTGTCTCTCCCCGCAAACTTATTGTCTGCCATAATCCCTATGCCAAAAATAAAGAGGAAGCCTAATGCACTTATCCAATAATTCATGGTTTTCATGGTGCTTTTACTTATGCGTTAAGTGAATATTATTGCTGGCCAACCACAAGAGGGACAAGGAAAAAAAACAAGAAAGGAAAATGGAAGCAAAGCCGCTAAATCAATAAAAGTTTCGATGGCTTAATACTCAAACTCAACTCAAGTCAATTCAGGAGCCGGAAAGTATCCTCGTGTCCTCCGTCCTCCGTCCACCGACCTCCTGTCAATGCCATTTTGGCGACAGTCACTAAGTCGCTAAGCTCGACAAAATATGCCGATATTTTTTTTATTTTCATTTTTTTTATTTTTTTTTGACTTGGTTGCATTTTTATTGACTTACTTTCGAGTGGTAACGCGAAAAGTTTTCCCAACTCTGGCGGGCATCTTTATTATTGTGTGTGAGTTTGAATGTGTGTGTGTTTGTTTGCGAGTGTTCACTGTAGTGGCGGCTGCAGTTTTTGGCTTTTTGGTGCAAAGTTCTTAAAAATATATATTTTACGATTACAAATGAGATTTATTTGCCATTTCCGGCTGCATTAGCGGAAGTGCGCTGCCAACTACTCGAGAGTGCGGCCATAAAAATTGCCAAAAAAAAATGTATCCTTAGTCCTTTTCCCCATATCCCTGCTGGCACCACATATTTAGCCGTGCTGCATTTTTGTCGCATTAACCAAATGTTTTTTTCTTATTTTTTGCTCTCTTCGCTAGCCAACACAACCAACTTGTCAACGCAAATGTTGCAGGATGCAGAACGCCATGCCTAATGTAATTTTGATATCACCAAGGAGAAGAATGAGCAGCTGCGGCAGCCATTGATAAATTATCATGCGGACATCAACACCGGCGAGGGAGGAGGTGAAGGGTGGCTGCTGCTGCATCAGGTGCAGCAAATGAACTGGCATGGATAAAACAAAAACTAAAACCAAAATGTTCAATCTATTTGAAATGTGGTCTGATGGTACGGTGCGACCGGATGACGGTTCACAACGACCGTGCTTATTTTTAACTGGTCGGTGGGACTTTCGTCCGTTTGTAACGCCATTTGTCAGCGATTTATCAAATCAGTTTAACCAGATAAAAAATGTATTCGTTTATTTATGAGCCTAACGACGGCCACTTATCGTTTGCGCTATCAAGTAATTAATTAAGTATTAATATATAAACAATTGTAAATTGGTTTTTAATTTGTGTTTTTGAATAAAGCAAACAAAGTTGACTTGATGACATGTTTAATGTGTATTTGGTATGGGTCTGTATGAGAAATGGAAGTAGCGATAAGAAATGAGTTTGAAATAGACCGGGAGAGTTGTGAACAGCATTTATCAGCTGGAAGGTAAGCAAATGACAACCATACAGAATCAGCAACTAATTAAAAATACCCGTTTTCTATTACAAAAAACTCGTGTAAGTAGAAAGAACTTTAAACTGCTCTGTGAGCTGCACTTCGAGCCGAGCTGAGTTGAGCTTCAAAATCAGCGTTTATCAGTGAAAACTCCTTAGACTCACACACTTTTACCTATGTATGTATATGCTTCTCCAAAAAAAAAAAAAATGAATGTTGAAATAGTTTCTATTTGGTTTTTTATTGATTTTTATTTTGTGTTTGCTTTATTTAATAAATTGCATATTTGTAAACAATTGATAATATCGGTTTGTTGTTTTGTTTTCGAACTGAAAATAGCATAACAAGTAAAAACAGATTGGTCGATGCATTTTAAATAGACAATTACATAATTACGTAATTACATAATTTGTTTCTTGGTTTCACATTGACGAGTAGGTAAAATAACAAAATATTTGATGGCTTAGCCTAAACAAAACATTGGATAAATCATCATTATAATATTATTATAACGCATACACTCTATATTATATATATATTATGTATTATTATTATTATTTTCTGACTAATTTGCCAAATGCAAATGGGATAGTTCAATTCAAGTCCCACGCAATGACAACTGACAATTGCACATAATGGCATTTAACATGCAGTTAAAATTAGATAATTGCAATATATATATGATATATGTGTATATATATATATAAATAATTTGACTATTGACTAGGGATAAATTTGTAGTTTTTTCTTGTCGGTTTTTGCTAATTCGCTAATATATATATTTGGAATATATGTGTGTAAGTGTGTGTGTGTGTTGTGAATGTGCATTTTAAATAATAAATATAAATTGGAATGGAAAAGCTTTTCGCACTGGGGCGTCTACTTAAGCATTAATTTTAAGCCGATTCTAAGTACATCTCATAACATAAAAAATTCATTTCAATTTCTCACTGTGCGGGAAGGCGAGATTCGTTAAGTTTGGCCAGCAGCAATTCGCCGTGCGGTGTGCAACTCGGCTGGCGACTTATCTACAGCTGGGTTCTAATCTAGACTACAAACAAATTTCTTCGATTGGCAAGATAATATTTTTTTTCTCATTTTCGTTAAAATTACTTTTTGAGTGCAAGCAATAAATAGCGAGCGTGTGAGAGAGGGGGTAGATAGAGTGAGAAAGGAAAGGAGTATCTAGGATATATAAAGCTCCACGCACGAGTTGCTCACAATGGGCGTGGCATTTTCCGTAACACTCTGGCTGCCAGTTTTCAAGGCGGGCGTCGCGTGGTTTGTGTCCAGGCTGAGCAGGGTTTGCGATGGCTGCGTCGGCGTCACAGACTGAGCAGGCGCAGCGCCCAAATTGCCGTTAACAATAACCACTGCTGCTGTTGTTGCTGCTGCCGACGTTGCTGCTGACGGCGCTACAGTGGTGGCCTGTACAGTAGGCGTGCCTATATGCTTGTTGTTGACATTGGTGTTGTTGTTGTTGTTGCTGCTGCTGCTGACTGTTTGCTGTTTACTGGGCACAAAGGGCACGGCGTTCTTGTTGGGCGTGAGTATCAAGCCGGCATTGGGCGGCGACAACGGTGAAGGTGGAAAAAAGTCCATCGGATACTGTGGTATGTATAATAAACATATATTTATATATTACTAAATAAAAAATAAATATATACAGTTGTGACAAAAATAATAGCACCATTCCGACATTTTTCTTACGAATGAAATAAAGACACCTTTGGAAACATTTGCTGTGAGAGTGTTGCTATATTTTTGTTCGCAACTGTATATATACTCACCATTGCCTGATGCTGTGATGGAGAATGGGCGCCCGGCTGGCTGAAGTAGGTGGTTGGCGAGACGGGCGGACTGGGATAAGGCCAGTAGACGAGCGGCGGCGGATAGAAGGCGGACGCATGATGATGGTGATGATGATGATGGGCGTGATGGGCGTGGCCATGATGGGCACGCGGCGTCGCCAACAACGGTGTGTGAGGTGGTGGCGGCGGCGGCGGTCCACCATAAGCCGGAAAATGGGCACCAAAATGGGCGCCAAGCACAGTGGCACCTAAAGAAAGCAGAAAAGAGAAATTTAAAACAAAATTAACAAAAATCTTAAATAAGTTGCAGAAATTGTCATTTAAGAAAAATCATAAACTTTTGGTAGTCAGTGTTGTGAGTATGGCTTGGGTATACTTTATTTTTCGGGATGGGTTGTTGTTAGTCTTAAAGAAAAGCTAACGGTAATTGCTTGAAGCAACACAAAAAGTAGTTGTTGTTGTTGTATATAAAAAAGGACGCATTGACTTGAGTTAAGATTATTTAATGTTGCTGTTGTAGTTGTTAGGGTTAGTTAGATGGTTAGTTGAAGTTCAAGTGAAGTTAAGTATAATCGTATTCAAAAACACTCACCGTTTAGACATTTGCAAAATATTTATGGTAGAGGAGACATGTATTATAATAATTGGTAAATTTAATATTGAAGATATATATGTATGTAATATCAGTATATGTATGCATATATATATAGATATATATTTACCACTTTACCCAGAGAATATGAATACATTTTTTGCGCACATAGTAAACTTAAAAACATGTTTTATCCCGTTCTTGTTTTTTTTTTAATCCAAGCACCAACCAGCCTTCAAAAAGGTAAAAAATAATATAAATAATATAAAAAGAAACCAAACAAAACACACACAGAGAGCTGGCTCAATTGACAACAACGACGGCGGTATGAGTAAAGAATCGAGTTATCGAATTATCGAGTTATCGTTATAGCATATGGTACTTATACATACAATACATATATGCAAATACAGTTAGGGCCACAGTTCCTTACACAAAAGCAGCAGAGGACCAATTAATGTTATCGATAACATATCGATAGCGTAAACGTTGTTTATTTGTTTATTTGTTTTTTGTTACATACAAGATGCGTGTGTGTCTATAGAGAGAGAAAGAGAGAGAGTAGCACTAGGTGGTATTACGTTTTATGACTTGACAATCCACTTATCGACGTTATCGAGTTGCACTCACACACACACACACATACAATCAAATTAAATATATATCAAAATATATATATATATATATATATATGTATATATATACCGTACAGTTCCAATTTTAATCAAATTTAACAATCAGTAAGTAGTGCAAACTCGCAACGCCGTTAAAAATTCAACCGATGCGGCCACACAAAGACCCGAGCCCAGAGAGGATGCACCTGAAAATACGTATAAAGCTAGACCCAAGCCCAAAATACCCAAGAGTTACAAATACGTGGTGTATATCGGATGAGTGAGAAGGAGAGAGATGGAGAGAGGACGATTAGACAGAGCAGACGGTAACACAATTTCAACTAACAGAAGAAAAAAAAACCGCTGCAAAAGTTATCGATATGATTTATGATTAATGAGATAAACAACAAATATAGATTTCTTATCGATACATTTTGCGTAGTTTTTTTTTTTTAATATGTAATTAAAAATATCAAATTGATAAATTATAGATTCTTTAAAATGACTAAAATGCACACACAGAGCAAGAGAGATTTAATTCAAGTTGAAGTCAAGTTGAAAATCGCAAAGAGAGGGGAAAGAAAATGAGGGAGGATGAGCGAGCATTATTTATAGGTATTTATGTATGTAGAGCGATATGTATATATTTATTGAAGTATAAAAAATTTTTAATAAAAAGTTCGATTGTCTCTAGACTAAGCATTAAAAAATTATGAAATATCAAAAAATATATGTTTGTTTTTTGTTTATGTTGTGCGCTATAAACTAATTAAGTTAATTGAAATGTAAATATTTTATATACGTTTAATTAATATTAATAAACTTGTTTCATAAGTGGCTGCTTATGAATTGTTTTTTTTTCTATTTTTTTTTTTTATGGAAGCCATAGATTGTAAATGTATGTATTGCAAGACCCATGGGGAAACCACTCGATTGCCATATGTGATTTAAACATTAACTAAACAAATAAACTAGTTGCTAAGCTGTGAAAAATTTTCCCATGCTTTTTAATTGATAGACAAATATAATTTTTTCAATTTTGTTTTGTAGAAATACCAAAAAAAAAGCAGCGCAAAAACTGTTTGTTAGACGCAGAAGAGGAGTTAGAATCGGTGGAAATATGTTTTTAGCTCTCTGCTCGAAAACAACTATATATTCTATACATATATAGCTAGACATAGACCCAAAAGACAAAGACAGACAAACTAGAAATATAGAGAATCGTATTTTGAAGATATATACTTAGAGCATAAACCCAAAAAATAACCATAACCAAATTTTTATATATTTATCAGATCAGATCTGTAAGACACTAAAGCGCTAGTGCGTACAAATAATGAAGAAAGCAATTTGACGTTCCCTTCGTAAGATATCAAGATTATACATATTTATATGTATATAGGCAGAGAGCGGCAGACAGAGAGACAGAGAGAGAAGGGGGAGACTACAGACTAAAATTAGTGATGACAGAGAACACACAAAAAGTAAATTCAGATTCAGAATTCCAAATTCCAAATTTGCGACTAACACCAGTTACGCACACTTATTAGCTAAAGATAATACATATAAATATATATATATATATATATATATATAAATAACGATTTACGATTTATATTTATATGCAAAATCAAATTTAAGTTCCAAATTATATATGAGTTGTTGTTTGTTGAGAGTTTGTTAGAGGCTGACGGCGATGAGCATTGCGATCTATGATTAAACCCATAATGAGCAGGATCAGGATTACATATATATTCTGGATATTACATAGATAGATGCGTGAATGTGTGTGCGCGTGTGTTTGTTTCGAATAGATCGCAATGCTCGGCCACAAAACAGCCGTGGACACAGGAAAAGTTTTCTAGTGCTTAGTTTCAAAATATTAATCCAAAATGTTCGTTTTTTTTTTTGTTTTTGTTTGTTTTTGTGTAACCAACCAATTTTACAAGTTGTACGTCTTAAAACTATTATTTTGCCATTATTATTATTAATATTATTATATATATGTATGGTATGTATGTATGTATGTATATATACGTATGAATACGTATTATTCTAGTCTAATTTTCGGGGAATGGGGTTTCTTGATTTGCTGCACACAGTTTAATTTAGCTTTAAAAAATATAAGTTTTCGATTTCTCTTTCCACGCATGAGCCAACACCTGACGCCTTTCAGGCAGTGAGCATTTGTGTGTGTATAGTGGGTGTACAGGGTGTGCGTGTGTGTGTGTGTACCTATGCTTAAATATTAGTTTATAGATTGCACTTGATGGACATGAGACACACTCACACACACACAGTCACACACATGAACGTAGATGTGGACAACGCTCGCTGTCTGAAGGACATTAGCCTCTGTTGTTGAAGTAGCGTATAACACACACTCAATCACACACACACACACAGACACACACAAACACACACACGCACACACACACACGCACACACACACTCTTGCCACACACACACTTGCCACACACACACAAGCAACATACACAATACACATAGTAGAGTTAATTATTAAATAGTTTTGAATCAGCTGCCTTTTTAGTTAACAAAAATTTGGACGTTTCTTTTTTTTCACATTTGTTAGCTTCCCCGTTTGTGTGTGTGTGTGTATGGGTAGAGTGTGCGTGAGTGTGAGTGTGCGATAGGTGTGTGAGTGTGCCGGGTATAATATGTAAGTAATGCTTAGACCTTAGACAAAAGTAGCTTAAAAGTATTTTCGTTTACTTTTTTGCTTGAATTCTTTTTTAAAAGAGACTTACGACTACAAAAAATTTCACTATCAAAAATTTACAATTAAAAAGACTATTTTAAGCGCTAACAAAATATGTCTGGTATTTGTGTGGTGTGTGTGTGTGTATGTGTGTGAGTATTGCCAAAGTTGAGCGATGGTATGAATGATATGGGGTATTTATCCACTTACCACTCATTGTGCATTGCAAACGTTAGCCGGAGTTTCATTTAAGGAGTGCATCAATCAATTATGATTGATTGCTTGGATTAAAAGCCTTGGAATGGGTTTGAAGTTTCGGAGTTTCGATTATTTAAAGAATCTATCAGTCATCATGATTGAGTCAATATAAAAGACTGCTAAATGCTCAAAATTAAAGATGCAGTCAATCGTGATTGATAAAAAAAAATACTCTTCGGAAAGAAAAAATGGTATTTTACTTTAAGATGTCAATCACAAATAAGTAGCGTAACTATCAATCAATCATGATTCGTGATAAGCAAAGATTCATTAAATGTCTACAAAGTCTTGGAATGAAATACGCTTCAAAGTAGTCCGCCAACTACCTAAACTCAATCAATCACCCAATTATGATTGATTCATTTGAATGAATATTTAGACCTACTAAATACCTGGATTGTAGTAGGAATAGACGCTACTTGGCGCTCGAGTCAAAGCCCGTTTGGCAGCACTGGCTGCATTCGCGGCAGCTGCTGCGCCCGTCGGATCCTGCTGGAAGGCATTCTCATAGGAGCGCTTCATGGAGTGCGATTGAAGAAGTGCGGCATTATTTGCCGCATTTGCGGCACTTGCTGCACTCCCAGCGCTACCCGATACCCCCGCACCGGCTGTGCCAGCGCCCGCAAACTGATATCCACCCGCGGTGGCTGGCATATAGCCGAGTTGAAAGGGCTGCAGGTAGGGTCGCTGCATGAACACAAATTGCGGCTGACCGCCCATTGCAGCCGCAGCAGCGGCGGCAGCAGCAGCGCCCGGATGTTGCATATACAGTTGATGCTGTTGCAACATGGCAGCATTTGCATACAGCTGCTGTTGTTGCTGCTGCTGCTGCTGCTGCTCAACGGCCACAGCAGCAGCCGCCTGCTGGCGAGCCAACAAATTCTGCTGGGCAATAAACTGGGCCTGCTGCTGGGCGAGCAGCGCCGGATTGGATGAGCCGACGGCAGGATGAGAGCCCGCCGCTTGTGAAAGCTGCAAATTGTACGGATACCCGGCGTGCGAGAGCCCAGTGCTCGACAGTGAACCGAGCGTTGACGAGTGTGTGGACATTGTGGCAGTGGGTGTGGCAGCCATATAGCCAGCCAAGCCACTGGGCGTGCCCGCCGTGAGGGGAGCAAGTGAGGCAGCAGCAACTGGTGATGTTTGCAGTGCATGATGAGCAGCAGCTGCGGCAGCAGCAGCAGCTGCCGCGGCATATGGTGTGTGCGCATGCGTGTGTGGCGAGTGTGCAAGTGTGTGCGAGGAGTGTTGTGCGTTGTGTGTGTTGAGCGAGTTGAGTGAGTTGAGCGAGTGTGCGTGTGTGTGTGTGTGTGAGCTAATGGCTGGTGCGCCATTGGGTGGCGGCGGCGGTTGTGCTAACATACCCGGTGACAGCAGCGATGGCTGTTTGCCAGCCGCAGCAGCAGCAGCGGCGGCAGCAACAGCAGCGGCAGCAGCAGCAGCCAAATGCGCATGGCCCGGATGTGGGGCAGCGGTGGCAACGGGTGAGGCAAGGCCGCCGTTCAACACATGATTCATATCGTCGCCGGAGCACTGGAACACCTCGATGTAACGGAACTTCTTGCCAAAGACCATAAACTGATTGTGCTTGCGTTGCGCACACAGTCGAGCCGACTCCTCCAAGTCCATTTGGATGAAGGCCTCCCCGCTGGGCTGGCCCTGAAAGATATGTATACACATAAGGATTAGGCAAGGGTTCGTGTATATAAGTGAAGTACACTCGGAAAAAAATCGAATTGTAGATAGTAGTAAAGTATAACTGCATTACTTTATACATAAAATATATTTCTAAAAACTAAGGTTTTTCTTCCCATAGTTTCAGGTTACATTTTTAGTATTTTTAGAAATGCATTTCAACATAATACAAAATATCTCTAAGAGATACAGCAAATAAGAAAAATGTTCAATTTATCAGGTCGATTCTTTTCTTTGAGTGAATCGAAGATGTTCATCTGCTCACCTGCGCATTGATGACCATATGGACGCCCTGGTAGATGATGTGCTTGGCAAAGTCGTCCAGAAAATGAAGGATGTGCTCCACCATGGCCTCGTAGGGAAGGCCGCGCAATCGTATGCAGTTCTTGGTGGTGCCCGAGGTGATGAGGTGCTGTGGGGCATGGGGAAGTTGGGGGCACAGGTTAGCGTGGCTAGCGTTAGCTGACAGCGGGTTGAGGGCGTGGCCACCAGCGGCGGCACCCACCTGCGGCAGCAACGGCAACTGCATGGTGGGCAACTGTGCTATCAACGGCGGCTGGCTGTGATTATTCGATTCGTACGTCTTCGGATCCATCGAACGATTCAGCACCTGCTGTACCTCCGCCGTCGTCGATCTAAAGAGCTCAATGTATCGCTGTCCAATCGATTCACGATGGCGACCCAGCGCCTTGGATGAATCGCATTCATTGGCAAACAGTACGAAGGCATCGCCGGTGGCTCGACCATCCGGTTTCTTCACAAACAGAACACCCTCATTGCCATCGAGCACATGACAGGGTGACTCGCCGGTGGTAAAGAATTCCAGCTGGGCAGAAGATTGGAATCGTTTGAGAAAGGTATTCGTTTCAGGTCATCATCAAACATACTTACCACTTGCTTTGGTGTGCAATCATAGGGCAGTCCACGCATGCGTATTATCACCTGGGCTCCCTTGGAGAGGAAGGCCTGCGCCTCATTCGAAGCGCCGCCGGCAATGGCCAGGAAATCCTCGCCAGAGGCGCGATACACTTCAATGTACCGTGAGCCAATGTGATGTTTGTGGCGTTTAAGGGCCATGTCGCGATGCTCCTGGGAAACAAAGCGTATCAATGCCTCACCGTTGCGCCGGCCCAGCGGCGATAAACACAGAGCAACGCCGCCTCTACAAAGTATGGAGCGGGGGAGGGGAAGGAACCGAGAAAATGTGCGGGGGAGGGGAGAAAAGAGAATGCAGCAACAAAGAATTTAAATATTGAAAAAGAAAAGCCAGGCATATAATACACAGATATTATATATATACATATATATTTTTGCTCTCTCTCTCTCACTCTCTCTTTGTGGCAATCTCTGCCGCTGACCCGCTGAACTTCGATAAGCGGAGGCGCATCTTATCAATGGGTTACGTTCGTCTATTTCTTGATACTCTTGCAGAGAGTACATGCATTTGCTTGGAATACCTTAGTGATTACATTTAAGCTGCGTACAGCGTCCTAAGTATTTCTTGAATAATATCATGATTTACATATGACATTTTTTTGCAGGCAAAACAATCTTTTAAGATCGATTCGATGATGTTAAATAATATATCTGCTTACTATAAATTCATATACTTAAAAGCAAGTTCTAAGATCTTCAATCTTGTACTTAAGTTCACATTCTGCCATGTATATCTGCTAAGGTATTTAATCTTTCTGTCTTTCAATGCAATTTACCACTTACTTGGCTACGTTGAGTCCGCGAAAGAATTTGGCAATATCCTGATCGCTGCTCTGCCAGGGCAAACCACGGGCACGAACAATGCAATTGCCGTCCACCTCGTCGTCAATTGAACTGTAAGAAAAATTAAACAAATACTCAAATAAATGGTGTTCCAGTGAAAAAGTTAGGTGCAGTTTTCAATTTAAGTTTCAGTTCGCAGAAGGTAAACAGATATGGGGCAAATGCATAAATATATACGATATATTATATACTCTACATAGTCTAGAATCTAGCGCTACGATCTGCTTATGCAACAGGCTAGACTTGACATGTGTAGTTTTTGTATTATTTTTTTATTTTTTTTTGGTTTTAGCGTAGTTGGCTCAAGTCACGTTTCAATTTTCAAGACCATAAACATTTTTTGCTGACTTTTCACATAGCTCTCAAGCATATACAGAACCAAAAAACTCACACAAACCGAAGCAGAGAAAACAGAGTCAGACAGTCAAAACGAAAACAAATAAAAACATGAATAATCAAAAGAAAGCCAACGATAGCGAAAAAAAATAATCATATATTGTTTATCTGTGGAATATTCATGAATGTTTTGCACTGATTTGCATTTTACCTGGCGACTAATTGAATTATTTTTAATAGGTTTCTGGGTCTGCAAACTTCAGCTCCATGCAATAACAAAAATAGCACACTTATATGTCTAAGCCAGACAAAGGTATTTTTTATTTTTGTAAATATATATTTATATATAAATATATATATATATATTTCTCTAGCGATAACAATAGTCACAATTCATGAACAATTCAGAATTCGATGCGTTTCCAATTTCCGTTCAACTCAAGATGTGCGAGCAGAGTTCCACACAGTTCTTATCGCATGGCGATCCAATCGTTGACTGCTGGGCGACAAACGACAAAACGACGAGCCGCGATCCAATCCACGATTTGTCGCGCCGCATAGCTTACAGTCAGCCAGTCTGTTAGTCTGTCAGTCTGTCGGTTAGTATCTGTGTATTTTTCTGAGTAATTTTTGTTTAATGGTTTTTTGTTTTGTATTTCACTTTTTTCTCATATTTTTGAGTGACTTTTGGCTGAAAAGACTTGGCGAACCTTAACACACAGAAACTGGAACAGTGCAGCGCTGAATTTATTACGATTCGAAGAGTCTCTCAGTTTTTGAGACCGAAGACTTGAGTTCTACTCAGACTATGCATGCGGTTAGCGTTTCGAGAGCGTTGAGTACAATGCTTGGCAACTCAAAACGAAGGCAGGTACGCAGTTCAGTATTGTCAAGAACTGACACAGTGCAGATCTCGGCAAGGACGCCGCTTATCAGATTATACAACAGATGGGTTAATCACTTGATTTCACATTGTTTAATTAGTACTGAGTCATTCGATTGGATTTCTTCCACCAGCTACAGCTTTTTAATCTAATTTCTAGTTATGCATTTAAGTTAATTCTGGATTCGCATTTAGCAAAACACTTTTATAAAATTATTCTAACTAGCTTAAGAAAAGCTAGGGACTTCTTCTAATCAATCTACTAAACTCATTCTTCTTCTAAGCTAATTCTTCTTCTATTTCATATATATTTTGAGTACCTATGGAGTCATTTCATGTTGCTTGTAAACGTTATCTCTTTTGGATTCTCTTAGTTTTTTTTAATCGCCTGAGAGCGATACATTTAAAAATCAAATATGAAGCTGTTGCTCTAAATATTGCTTACAGAATCTACATGTATCCAACACTGCTTATCTCAAGTCCAGGAAAACAATGATTATTGAGATAACCTCTTTAAAAACCATTCTCAACACGCATAAAGCTATTTTTCGCGATCTCACATCTCGAATACACTCTGTAATCCATTCCAAATCAACACAATTTCTACATCAGTTCCTTAATAAATATCTTGGGCATTCTTTGCTTACCAAATACCAGGTTCCAGTACTAGGTTAACGAGTTCATTTGTTTCAAATTTATGTCCTACAAATATATAGAAATGTTTGCTCATTAGTCTTTAGACCATAATAAAGCTTTTCACTGCACAAACTCACCCGCTTGAAGCAATGTTTGAATCACAGTGACCATATCGCGAGATTCGCGTATATAGAAGTCATTATCTTCCACAGACGTTGCATTGAGCTCTGCAAAGAGTAAATATCATCACACATTAGAATTGTTATCATACACAAAATACAAAATCTCAGCACTAACCTTTAAGCATTTCAGCAATGGACTGTGGCATGGGCAGCACGGGGGACTGCAGCATCTTCTTGATGTCCTTGACCGGAACGAGGGCACGGGATAAATCACCCGATTTGTAACGCTGAAACTCCTTACGCAGATCACTGAATCTATTGTAATAGGCGGGCAGCTCAACGTCCTTGGCGCAGGCCTCCCGATGCAGGCATTGACGCAGCGGCAGCTGCCCATCGGTGATCAATTTGATCTCCGTATCATTGAGCGATAGAGAGCGTAAATAGGCTTCGAACTGTAAGCGAAACATTCACACATATTATTAACTATTAATTAATTATTTAGTGATGCAATAATGATAAAAAAAAAGTTGGAATTTGAATCAAGACTTTTGACCCGTCTCCAGACTAGTAATTTATCATTCATTTTGACAGAAGATTATTTTTTCAAATTTAAATGTAGTCTTAACTTTTGGGTCAAGCCACTATCAAAAAGCTCCCGAATCGTATTAGTTTTGAAATAGCTATGGCCCTGGAAAAGTTTTCCAACTTATACAATTTTCAAAATGCTAATATGACATTTAAATACGTCAGAACAAATAACTGAAAAAATAAACCTTTCGCATTCGGAGGCAGCTGCAAACAGTTAGTCAATTAGATTTAATTGCATTGTTAAAAGTCAGAATTAAATATAGATATGATATGCATTTAATATACCAGATGACGCCGATAAAACTTAACAAATAGCAAAGTTCAACGGTTTAATTATTTAAGTATTAACGAAAGGTTTGTGGGGATTATTTGGCTGAATGCAAATTCTTAGTGCAAACATTTCTAGGTTACAAATTTACAATTTGTATAAACCCGTCTAGTGTTGTTTGTTCTCGTTGTTGTTCTTGCCGCAATTATTGTCAATTAAGTGCAATAAACCGAGCCACCAACAACAACAACACTAGCTTCAGTTTTTAGCAAAGTCATCGTGAGTAAACATATCAGATAGCTTTCTGTTGCACTAGCCGCTTTAAACATTTCTGTGAATGGTTTTTTCTGAAAAAGTTTACTCCTCCAGACCCCCAACTCGTAAATATTTGCTAGCCAAATGCGTTTTGACCAAGCCAATTAGTATGCTAGCCAGGCAGACTCTCTCCCTCTCTCTCTTCTCTTCTCTCTTGTACATTACATCACGTGTCGCTTACAGATCTCTGTAAAAGATGCACTTCTACATATTACTAACTAAATAATATATATATATATATATGTCTACATGTGTAAATATATAATCTGACATCTAATTGGCATAGCCGACGACACAGTCTGTGAAGCAGATTATTTCTCCGTAAGGTGCAGAGTACAAGCAATATCTTAATTATCCAAGTTAGTTAGGCACCCATTTCTACAGATTGCCACTTGCCAAGTTCATTAAGGCGACTCAAATGGAGGTCACGCCATCAATATTTATTTGTTTTAATAAATTGAATACCACGTGCAACAGCAACTAACACTTATGTGGCAGAAAACATTCCCTCAAACTTCCATTTACTCAGTCGACTATCAAAGAAACTGAACAATAATAAAGTTTGGCTCGTGTCGAACAATAAATACCCTTTACTAAATAAATTCTATAGTCGCTAGTTTTTATATATTTGTAAATCCGCTAAAAGTTTTATTTTTAATAGATATTTGTTGAAGGCATTTGTGAGATTTTGATAGCTATCTCTATCTATATTTATGTTTTGACGAGAAACTTGTCACACAGACTGCACCTCTACCATTTTTAAATAGGTAACGCTCCCAAGTTTACATTACTCTTTCTCGATCTTCCAGTACCTCTATCTGAAACATCAACAAGTTGTCCGTCTCTACAATTATTTACTCCCTATCTAGCGTTTACATTTCCCGTAACAAATCGAGGGAGGAGGTGCGGTGCTCAAATGCTCTAGTAGCGCACAACTTTTGCTTATCAGAATGTGTATGTGATAAGATTGAAAAGTCGAACACTTTTAGCACAGAGCACAAACCTCCACAGCCCAGCTCCCAATCAGTGGCGCAGTCCGAGGAACAAAGTGTACCTCACAAAATGCAATCCTCAATGACTTGTCAAATGATGGGACCATCTAAAAGTATTTCCAGTCAGCATGAGTTAATGTTTTATTTATGTGACTTATCTATAAATAATATTTATGTAAGTTTCGAAAGAAAGGCTCAGCTCTTAACTGTATTTCCCATCAGATGGTTTTTAACCCAAATATAAACGTATTATCTTTCTCTATCTCTCTCTCCCTCTTTCTCTGTCTGATTAATCTTATCTGAAGCTTTTTCTTGCGACTCCCACGCGCAATAAGCGAACCGAAGGTGTTAAATGAAGCTCATTATTTCTTAAATCTAGATAAGCAGGCTGCAAGGTGTAATACTATCACATTCTGTACGCCTCCCACCTATATTGCCTAATAGATAAGATCTATTACATTTTTATAGTATTTCTATCGCATTTCTATTTCTCCCTTTTTACACTTCAATCCCCCGCTATACACCTTCTACAACAGATAGATCCAACAGGTCCACGTGCATGAATCTCTCCAATAACAAAACATTCCTCATCCTACTTTCTTACTATCTTCCTTATAACTTTTATGTAACCTCCATCTATCTGTCCTCTAACTACTTTCTATCCTATGTCTATCTTACTGAATTCCCCATTCTATCATCCTGCTACCGCCTATCAATCACCCACTTATCACTAATCTTTCCCAAATTCTGTCTCCCTTCCCTCCATCGCACTTACCTCCTCGATAGCCTCAGTTAGGGGTTTGCCAGCAGCTTGAGCCTCAGCAATCGGCAGAATGAGTTCGCTGCTGTTCTCCAAGGTGCTCAGACTGAGTCCATTTGTTGCGCTATTCCCGCTGCTGGTGCTGCTGCTCGCATTTGTGATGTTATTCGTTGTATTGTTGTTGCTGTTGCTGATGCTGCTGCTATTGTTGGTGCTGTTGTTGTTATTGTTTTGATTTGAGCTATTATCACCAATATAACCAATGGCCAATGGTGGCGAGCAGGCTGTGTTATTTGTAGCATTCGAGTTGTCCGATGAGCTGGATATGGTGCGATCCTTAATAAAATAGCCATCGGGGCGTACGAGTATTTGTTTGGTGCCAATGATCTAAGCGAAAGAAAGAAAAATTTCATTAAAATGTGCAAAGGTAGATTCTTAAAATATAAGACTAGGGAATTTTTAATGGGAGTTGAGACTTAGTGACACAGCTGTCAAACTTTTTGCAAGTGAATCAAAAAAAATAAGAGAGAAAGTCCGAGAAATATGGTCTGTCAAAAATGCTGCCCACTTAAGCGAGATAAGCGCGAGTTATTGAAGTGGGGGGAGTGGTTGATATTTTCGCATCATAAAAACTAAAAATAAACAATCAAGAAACATGAATATCAGTTGCAAAAATTATCTGTAGATAGTGAAACTGTCGACACTCTCGCCAAGATTGATTCACGCATTATAATCAAGGTGCAAGAGCAACTGAGCAATTGTTTTGCATATATTATTGGAACTGGACGCCGCTCCACATTGCTTCGAAGCCTATGGGGGGCGCTATAGTGCTTGCGTCAGCGGATATTTGTGTGATCGGAATTGGAATTGAGAATCGGGAATTGTGTATCGGGGCAACTCTGACAATTGGAAATTAGAAATGGAGAATATCGACTGCAGGTAGCACTCGGGTCTGGTATGCAAAATACATACATATATATGAGGGGCAAAACAAAAAAAAAAAACAAGAAGCAAAAACTAAACATGTAGTAAACTGTTTTTGGAATTTCGAATTACTGATTTCTGACTTCTGATGCCATCGATTTGCATAGCTTTTGAATATATATAACCAGACGACAATGCATTGCCGACCGACTATACGGACTAATGGGCAATATACACACGGATTCCGCAAGCAAATACTGTATGAAATATTTATGAGACGCCTGATGTTAAATTCAACAGAAAACAAAAAGAAAAAACAGAATTTCCGAATGAAAGGAAAGAAACAACAAAATTTCTTCACACTCTCTCGACACACACACACACACATAAGCACACACAGATACACACACAAGTACATAGAGGCAGAGAGTCGGGGCTAGGAGCTGGGGGTCAAGCCATGTGCTAATTATGCGCAACGACCCAAAAACAAAATCATCCATAATGCCAAACCGAGCGAGACAGAATTAGAGGGACAGAACGAGGGAGAGAGAGATAGAGAGAGCGAAGACATTCTGTCGTCCGCCGTAAATTAAAAAAACATTCACTATCATGGAAAATTTATAGCACGTCGTATTGACCCATTGAAATAATAATAAAAAACCGGAATACCAGCGGCTAATAGACTAAATCGCTAGTTAAAAAAGCCGCGTTTCTAGATCAATGAAAACGTGCCAGGCGAGCCAGTTCTGTGTTTGCCAAGAACCCCACAGACACACATAAATACTCAGACACACCCCTCACCTCCGGCTGCGTCCAAGTGAAAACTCAATGAAATTCACTGAATGTCAATGCAGATGTCTTGACCTGGCCTAGAAGTCGCCTTTAGATTAAACTTAGCTTAAGCCAAGACTTACGATTTAAGCACAAAAGTTGCTCTCTTTGTTGTTTCAACTACACACACACACACACACACAAACAAAAATGTTAATTAACTATAATTGTTGGCATACGATTCATAACTGGCCTGTAATTAACAAGCCAATTATTGTTGCAGTACGTGTGTGTTGTCTATCTGTCAATTCAAAGCAATTTTGCTGTTGCAAGAAATCTATAACACTTGGCTTATTAACTGGCTAAAAAAGAAAGATATTGAGAGAGAGCGAGAGAGTGGGCCAGATTTATTTTTGTATTTATGCGGAAGGAAAAAGGAAACTCTTGACAGATTTTTATGGATTTGGCTTTTACACTTTTCCTTAGAAAGCAAACAATTTGGAGCTGTCAATATATCTGTCCAAAACGGGTTCAGTAAATTGGACAACAATTTAAGCAAATTTAACTAATGACACCAAAGTCAAAGACGAGCTGAGTATGAATTTCTACATGATCTCACCCTAAAGCAATTTACCTTCTAAAAATAAATAAATTGCTGGAAATAGTTAAATGTCTATTAACTAATAAAACTAAGCAGATAAAATATAAATATTTCAAGAATATTTTAATAAATACAGAATAGCTTATTGCGGGGAAGTACAAAATCGCGTTGATAATGCATACAAAAAAAAAAGAAGAAATTGGGAGATTATTATTATGTTGATTTACAGCATAATAAACTATTGACTGAACTGGTGGCTGGATAGTTTAGGAATATTTCAAAAAGTTACTAGTTTAGGTAGCGTGAATGTGGTTTCGAAATAACTAACAGTTCATTGTAGATTAAATGAATATTAGAGAAGATACTTGAAGATTGGTAAGACTTTTTTATAGCAGGAAAGAAATTCGAATATAGGTGAAGAAATAATAAGTAAAAGAGATACTTAATATAACTATGACTTTTCTTTAAGATATATTTAAAAAAGGAAACTTGAAGATAGTTACGACTTTCTTACAGCTAATTTTGATTATAGAGTTGATGGTAAGAATTTTCTACAGCAACGATGGAATATAGAAAAGATACTTGAGGAAAGCTAAGACACCTTTCCCAGGAAAGATTTCCATTTTAGATAGAAAATACTTAAAAATTGGTAACAGTTTTCTCCAATAATGATAGTTTATAGAGAAGATAATTAAATTAAATTGTAGAGACGATACTTGAAGAAAGTTAAGTCTTCTCCACCAAGAATAGCTAATAGAGAAGATATTTAAAGATAGGAGAGAAAGAAATCTGATTATGTTGTGCTGAAATATTGACCAGATTATAGTGAATTAATTAATTAGGTGAATAGACTAAGAATATATAATAAATAATAGTATAAGCCGTTAGGAAAGAAATCACTTTATTTACTATTCAATCTGATAAAGAATGGACTATGGACAAACTGTATTTAAGATTTCCCTGTACGGAAGTGTGCAAGACTGTCAAATAAAAGAAATGCCATGCAACCACAATAAGATTGACAAATAAGACTGACAAATAAAAACCTTATAAATCATTGGGTCAGCATTACAATTAGTTCATGGTTGCCCCGTTATAAATAAATTAATCAAAGTTTCTGCACTTTCATGTGGACTCATCATTTTAGTAGCTTATGAATGCGATAAGGAAGTCGCAACGATTGTGTACAGATAGAGATATATAGTAATTACGTATATAATAGTACAACGAAATTTGAATTCTAATCATCGAATGTGCTGCCAAAAAAAGTGGGGTTTGCGCTCCATTTGGCAGTTTAATTGCAATCGAAATCTAGAAATTATATATTAAAAATAGTCATGTCAATGCCAGATAGACAAATAGACACACAGACAGACAGATGGGCAGACGAACAGACGGGCAGACAGATAGACAGACACAAAGCCCAATTATTATATATCCAAAGTTTTTGGGCATTGGCTATGCGTCAGCAGCTAAGCAAAATGAAACACAAACAACTCTTTTCCAGCCACTAAACACTCGCACACTCGACTCGGTGTGTGTTCTGTGTGTGTATGTGTGTGAGTGTGTTTGTGTGTGTGTGTTACTGTTGCAATTTGAAAGTGTTTCAGTTATGGTCAGCAATTCTTTACACTTTATAGCTATTTCATAACTCATTAAAATTAAAACTAAAACTCGGTGGCCAGTTAAGCGCCGTTTTGATGACGATGACGGTGCCGTTGCGACTCAGTGCTTTCAACAATACCCTGTACTTATCAAAAAATAAATTGAGTTGTGTGAAAATAATCTATGGACTGAAATAAAGATTTTTATCTGCACAAGATTCAACAGGTGAATCTATAAATAATGTTCAATTATTTATTAACTATTCCACAATCCATCTACATTAATTCATGGATTTTTTGAGTATTTAAATTTGTTATTTCAGCATAATAGCAGTAAATTGATATATTAAACTAAGAAAAAGTGATATCCTTTTTTCTAAATTTTTAAAAACCAAATAAAAAATGTAATTTCTTAATTTTGAACCATAATATTTGTTACTCACATATTTCAATAGGTCCTACATCAATTCAGACAATTTCAACTGTCCTAAAAACTGCAGAAAATTCCATAAATTATCTAAATACATTCTCATTCCATAATGGATATTCACAGGTCGAACATAATAAAACAAAATTCCACTTTTTGCATGAGTGGATTTTTGTTCAAAGATTTAAACCGTTAAAGGGCTACAAATTACACAAATGATAAATGGGCTTTTGAATGGCAATTAAGTTCAGTCCTCAAGAATACATTTATATATATATATATATATATATATATATATATATTTATACTTGAATTAATTATTTTTTTTTTTGTGAAAAACAATACGACAGACATGTTTATGGAAAGTTTATTAGCATTCTTTCCTAGCTGTTTCGATGCTCAGACAACTTTCTTCTGCTTATCAGCCATAAATTTTAATTGACCCGACATATTATGCTACACAAAACTCGAAAAAAAGTTCACATAAGTCGATTGCTTTTGCAAAAAAAAAAAAAAAATGACAAAAAATACATACAAAAATATATATATATATTAAATATATGATATGTTTAAAAATTTTGCAAACACTTATATAATGGGGTTGCTATTGCATACGCGTTGAGTTTAGGATGATAAACTCCGACAAAAAAAAAACAAAAACAAAAAAATCCCAAAAAACACCTGCCAGCCAGGCTTAAAGATGATCAATTTCGAAAGCCACAGCCAGCACAGCGATGAAAAGGCCCTCAAACTTGTTTGACCCATGCGAACCTGTCGACATGGTCTAAAAGCCAAAAACCAAAGCATTTTAATGAAATCTAATGAACTCTGTCTGTTTCTGTCGAGCTGCTTTCCCAACACATTGACGGGGACTCACCGACGAGATTAACATAATAACGGATGTAGTGCCAAATATGGTTGAAACCTTATGATTTTGCGAAAGTTAAACAGAAATTTAAATTTGAATTCGCTTTGCCCAGCTACTACCATTTAGAAAATTAATCACTATTTGGCCAAAGCATGGCTTATAATCATGGAACAATCCAATCCCAAAAGACCCTGACGACTCTGACTCCCTCCCGCTGTGTGTATGCGAGACCCTGAGAGCCCTGAGAGTCTCGATCCATTAAAAAGCACTTAATGTCATAACCTACATCGAGAATAGAGATGCACTCAAAACTAAAAACTAAAAATGGTGCTGCGTGCGAAATTCAACATAGAACTCAAAGATCTGTCAGGCAGGCACACATTAGCTTAAATGCTTGTTAATATGACTTCTAAATACATATATATGCATGTATATAATGCCTCGTGATTTTCTTCGTCTGGCAATAACAAGCAGCTGCATATAGAGAGTCAAATAAAGTCGTGTATATATTGAGATATATAGACTCGTTTAAGACTCGGCACGGGATCAACGTAACGATGAGCCAAACACGCAGCTCCCAAACTGTATACAGATCCCCCAGAGTGGTGTATACAGAGGGAGGTGGGGGAGGGCAAAGAGACAACGCAACGCTTAACAAGGCAACAAAATTTTTGTCAAGCAGTTGGCAAATAATATTGCGTATATTGAAATTATTGCCCAGACAATATACATGCAATAATATACCAACACTCAAACTCAAACTGAGACTTCGACTTGGATTGTTTTTTGCATGCAAATAGAAATATAAAATAAACGTTGCAAATTGTCAAATGGAAAATCATTGGAAAAATATTGTGCAAATGACAAAGTTAAAGCTGTCGAGCTTAAGAAAAACACGTGAATTGATTATAAAGCCTTACCTTTTTCTTATATCTCATTTGAATAGTTATTAAGATTATTGCGAAAATTTTATGAGTATATAGAGTTTGAAAAACTTTATGTATGATTTATGTAAGGCTTTGTTCAATAAACAATTTGTCGTTTATATAGCTAATAAAAGTCTAAAACTCAAAACTCATAAATTGGAAACTTGTAATTTGAGTATTTATAGAATTTGCCTTCTCAAACGTAAATAGGGAAATAAGCCGCTCGTAAAAATAATAATGCTTTGATTGGCAAACATGAATAATCAATTATAAAACGGTTTGTGCAAAGCAATTTGACAATTATTACTGTAATCGCACTTATAACATATACTTATTGGAAATACGTTGCTTTTGCATAAGCAAATGCTCAATGTGATATGATAAAATAAGAAAAACTAGTAGAAAGTCAATGAAAAATAGCTAGAAACAAGTAGAGTTTATGCAGGAATTCTAAGCAAACATTCTAAAAATATTTCCAAACAGCTCCACTTAAAAAACTTTTGCGTATTTAAAAAAATCCGTACGTCATTACAAATAAGATAACTTCAAGCTGAGGATTACTTGGAAAATTTTAGCTTTTAGAAAAGTAAACACACGTGTCTATATATAAGTCTTTATACTTATATCAAAACACATATTTGAAGGGATTTCGCAATACCATTTAGACATACATACTTACTTGCATATACGACGACGCTAAAGTCATTTTCAAACAATTAGTGTCAATCGCTTGGCAAACTAAAAATATGCAAATACTAAACAGTATGGGCTCAACTTTTATTTAGATAGTCACCGGATAAAGGTGCACGCCTCCCTTTTGACCGCTGGCCAACCCCCCGCTGTCCCCTCTCCACTTTCGCCATTTATTGAAAGACCAATGAAAAGCCAAGCATTGGCAATCATTAACCAACTCAAGCTTTGCATACTCCTCTTTTCTTTTGTCAGTCAAATATATTAACTTGGCACACAGCTTATTTTTGAATAATTAATTAATGTTAATGCTAATCAGTTATTGTGTTTTATGCCTATTGACAAACAAAATAAGCAGCAAATGCTTGAAGTTGACAATTGTTTATGCCTTATTATAGGGTATTTTCATGTCCGGCAGCGTCTACAAAGCACTTGTTTAATTTTAAACGAATCAAAGTCGAGCTTGTTGTTGTTATCGTTATTGTTGTAGCATAATCAACGCCGCACAGTTGAAAGTGCAGCTTATACAACAACCACACTATATGGATGTGTATATGTGTGTGTATCTGTGTGCTTATGTGTCTCTGTGTGTGTAATTAATTAAGCGCAGACAGCGCAAACGTTTGAACAAAATGGCGTCACTCAGTAGGCGGAGCTTATGATCTATCCCAACTCCCCGCTCTCCCTTCCACAACCTTTGCCGCTTTCTTAGCGTGTGTGGTCGCCCGTGTGGCAACTTCAGTTACTTATTTGTAGGCTCATAACTCACCTGTCCCGTTGCAACTTCGAGCAGAACGTAGACCAGCAGAATGATTTCCTTCTCATCGGAGCCAAGGCCGGGCCCATTCTGGCCACAGGTGGCTATATAGAGAGAGACAATATGCTCGGGTACCTGCATCTTGTTGATATTGATGTTTGATCTCTCACTAAGTTTATCTCTATCTCTCTCTCTCTCTAGCGGGAGTACCGTTAGATGAATATATAGATATATATATAGCTTGCAAGTGGGCGAGAGAGAGCGCTTTGTTGCTGCTTTCTATTTGCTATCAATTCCAGTTGCGGAGCGACTGCATTCTCTGCTTATTAATATAATTCACCCATTGGTTATGTCTGCAAAGAAAGCAAAAAAAAAGAAGTGTTATGAATTAAAAGTGTGAGCGACAGGGGCTTAAACGGGGCTTATATCAGATTTTAACCTTTAAGAAAAAAAAGAAAATACATATGAATAAAATGCATTCAAGGAAAAAGTGTCAAGCAATGCAAATTGGCAGCACACGCAACGCATTTTGCACTTCAGTTGCCAATTGGCAAAAATGTATTGCCAATTTGTTGCGTTGAATGCTGTCAAAAAGTCTGATGCTACAAAATGCAGTGTTGCCAATTTGCAGGCGCTTGCAGCGTTGCCAGTTTTCAGTTTGCCGCCGACTTGCACGAGATTTTAGTGGAGGTACAAGTGACTACTAAAAGTTAAAAAAAAATAAATAAACAAAAGCAAACACTCCAAGCATACCCAAAGAGGTCAAATTGAAATTATTAACCTGCACGACGATTTGAAATTAAATTTTGCTCGCATTAAGCAAAAAGGCGAATGGGCGACAAGCGAACAGAAAAATTAAAGTGCAATTTTATGAGCATTTTTAATGTGAAAATTTGTGCTTTTAATGAAAGAAAGCAAAAGCAAGCCAGCACCAGACTGGCTGGCTGACTGACTGACAGGCTGACGAACTGACGAACTGAATGACGTACAACTGCAAAGTGGCAAAGGTCGCCGGCGCGCATGGGTTAATCGGGGTGCACAGGCGCACAGATCGCAGTCACGTATTTTTCGTGTTCGCCTTTATTATACCATTTTTTATTTTATTTTTTGTTTTGTTGTAATTAAAATTTAAAATAATGCATTAAAGAAACAAACGACAAAAACAAAAAAACGCTTTTGTAATTAAGACGCGATTTTTAAACAGTTTTGCGACAGTTTCTCAACTCTTCAAGTTTTTTTTTTTTGCTTGGTTTTATGCGTCTTTTGAGTTAATAACTCATGTACAAAAAACCGAAGCTCTTCTTCTTCTGGCCGCATGTTTCCACTTGGCATACGCTGGAAATGGTCAATGTTTCTTTTTTTGTTTTTTTCTTTTTTTAGCAACTTAACATGTGGTAATGTTAATGTGTGTTGTGTGTGTTTGCTCTTGTGCAATTTATGGCGAGCATACCTTTTTTCTACTTTCGCTCTCTCTTTCTCACTATCTATCTTTATCTCTTAAGCTGTTGCCGTTAGGCGATGGTGTGAAAATGTGCATATTCCCAGCAGCAGAACTTGAAAGAACTTTGTTCAATTCTTCAATTCCACGAAACGGTTTTCCAGTGCCGAGCAAATCTGCTTCTTGATCTTTGGGGTTAGACATACGGAAATTAGATATACGCGCGCTAATGATAATATTGTCTTTATGCTAGGAAATGATAAAGGTTAAGTGTTGAGAATTGCTGTTGTTGTTGTCGTTTTTTTTAATAGACTATATTTTTATCTAATCGTTGTGTGAATAAATGTGTAATGATGCCGAGTAGACGTTGGAAAATAATTGTAAACCATATTAATGGGTTTAGATAGAACAGGATTTTCTAGCTTGCTGATAGATAAACAATTTGAAGAGGTTTCAAGTGTTTAATGTTAACATTTTTGTATCACTTTGCTGTTTGTTATTGATATCAGTTGAATATTCAATTTAAAAAAGGCCCTTAAGCACACTTTTATTTATGGAAACTTGAAATATTTGCAAAAGACTATGCTTCTCTCCATTGTTACGATTGTAAATTTATGGCTCATAAATTGTGGGCTTATTCGAGAAACGTGAGTAAATATTTATGAGCGCTTTTAGAAGAGCTAATGACTTAATTAGTTTTTGATATAAAAATAATGATACATAACGACTAAAAACAATCATAGCGCGCATTAAGTTAAGTTAATTTGCTTAGTAAATCTGAAAAAAAAATGAAATAACCCGCTAGCTGTGTAACATTCATAATTGTTGTTGTTATAGTTGTTGCTCCAAATGAATTTCCCTTTCGTTACACACACACTTGAAAACTCACTGAGGCCTGACCGGACGGACGGACGAGCGGACACTGAAGGCCTAGGTCCAGTAAAAAGAGCGTTATGAAGTGGTTTTCACTGAATGGAAAAGCGTTTGCTGAAGGTGACGACGCATTACGCCGTGACAAACAACAACAACACACACATAATAAATCTTATTTGAAGTCCATGTTGCTTTGCTCATTAATGAATAACGGATCAGTGCGGCCTCTTTTTTAGGCTAATTAGAACTGGGAAGAAAGTAGCCAGCCATAGTAGCAACAACATTAAAAAAAACTTCATTAAAACAAAAATTGAACTGTATTTGGTGAAAGACAATCAACAACGGAAGCTCGCCAAAGTTTCTCTGAAACTATGCCAGGACTTGGTTGATTCAATGCAAATTCGTCAATAAAAATAACGCAACTAAATACAAACTTTATAAAAATAACCTTGACTTTAGCAAACAACTATATATATAAAAAAAAGATTTTATTCACATCTAATTTCTATAATTTGAAAAGTGGTGTTATTATTTTGTTCGTTCATTTTCCTTATTTTTCAAACCATTTTTTTCAATTTGTTGAAAACGGTGAATAGTATTATGATCTTCTAGTTCGTTAAACTTACAAATGTAATAAAAACATTATTTTGTATTATAATTTTTTTACAACTATACATTTGTTAAATATATCGCTGCAAATGCAATGTTCAACAAGCAGTAAATAACATCAGTATTTTACTATTTTTGTTATTAATTAAATGCGTTGCGCAATGCGTTTGGATTGAAGTGTGTTCCAAGCCAAAAGTGGCTGGAATTGGAATCGAAATTGGAATTGAAATGGGAATTGGCGTGTGCCGTTATTGCTGTTGTTGTTGTTTTGCCAACAGGAAACTTATGATTGCATGCGAGAGAAATGCCAATTGCCAAAGTTATGCAGCTGATCTACCTCTCTCTCTCTCTCTCTCTCTCTCTCTCTCTAGCTCTATCTCACTCACATTCACTCTCTCTCTCTCTCTCTGTCTCGCTTGCGCAAGCAACAAGTGCAAGCAGCAATTGTTTTGGTCGTTTTTGTTGTTATTGTGATTCTCTGCTTGCAAACGCGCTGTCAAAAAAGTTAGCATTAAAAGCACACAAGAAACACAACACAAATAACAGCAAGAAATCAAGTCAACTCACAGCGCAGCAGCAGTTAACTTTGTAGTTTTGGCAGCGCAGTCAACGTCGTCAAGCTGCTGCTTCAGCTACTGCGCTGTTGGTGTAACTGTAAATATGTTTTCACTTTGTAATGTTTGCGCATCTGCTTTTTAGCTTGTACCGTCTTCAGGCTCTCCTGCTGACTACTCACTATTATTATTATTATTGTTATTTTTGTTGTTGTTCATTCACTCGTTCATTCACACTGCAAGCACACACACACACACACATGCATAAATACATATATTTATGTGCGCTTGCTTGTGTGTCACATTCGACAAATAGTAAAACTTACAGCTTAAAGCTTTTTACACAGTTATTCTTTAGCAACAGGTTAATGTAGGTTTTTTTTGATCCTGCTCTTTTTTTCTCCTTCCTTTGAGCATTTACTGTTTTTCTTTTTTTGCTTTTGTATTTTTAGCTTAACACTTTGCACTTGATTTGTTATTGTTGTTGTTGCTTATTATTGTTTTGGCTTATTTTCACAAGTTTTTTATTGCACTTTCTTTTCTTTTCACACACATAGACATACACATACAAGCGCAGTTTCGTACTTGCTTATGTTGTTGTTGTTGTAAAGCTTCTGTGTACTTCAGCTTCTTCTTCTTCTGCTTGTTATATTCTGCTAGTCACACTGACTACTAAACTAATGTGTGTGTGAGCCTTTGCACACACCACTACGACAACGACGACGACGCCGCGATCTTAATACCAACACGTACGTAAACGGACAGCAACGACGCCGACGTCAGCGTCAGCGTCAACGTCGACGCATACAACACATGCAAACAAAAAACAAGTCACTTTTTTTTCTTGTCGTTTTCTTTGCTGCGACTGCTGCTTCTTCTTGTGTCTTTTTTTTAACTGTTGTTTTTGTTTTCTTTCTAGTTTTGGACTAAAAGGTGTGTGCGTATGTGTGTGTGTTAGTGTATTAAGTTGTCTTTTTTTTTGGTTTTTTGCTGCTCGAGCGACAATCGCGTGCGTCTGTCTCCAGGTTAAAACAGCAACTGATCAACGTCGTTGGCCACAGCCAGCCACGAAGGTAAGTGAGCTGCTCTTGCCTGCAGGTGTGTGTGTGTGTTTGTAACCATACGTGAATATGTATGTGTGTGTGTGTATGTAAACCTTTGCTGAGAGTGTGGAAGAGTGGCGCGATTGCGAGAGAGAGAGAGAGCGCGTATTCGTTGGCAGAGCTCAGGTGTATGGGCCACTTAACTGCTGCTGGCTGAATGCCTATGCCAAACAAGATTCCAGCACGCAAACGCACAACAACAATGAGACTTAATAGCCGCTATATATAAATATACACACACGGACATACACACATATCTATATATATATATATATATATATATATATATATGTATATACGTATATATATATATATATATATATATAGACGTATATGTGTATAAAGCTTAAGCTAGTTTTGTTTTGTATGTTTGCCAATAGGCTGGTCTGTCGCACAGTTGGTTGGCAACTCGGCTGCGCCTTTGTGTATGCAGCATGGACCCAAAATAAACTTATATAAAACTATAAACAAAACTTCGTTTAGCAATGAATGAAAGTACAGTTAAGACTCGTAAAACAAAACTGTTCAAAAAAATAATAATAATACTGAAATTAAGCTTTATATAACTAAGCAATTTTATATCTTTTTATATATAATTTATATTTGTATACCTAAAAAATATTGACTTGACTTCAAAATCACCTGCGATGCCACTTTGCGGGCGTTCACTGTATTAAAATCAAAATCTTAAGCAACAACAGTTAAACGGCACACACACACACGCACACACATACACATACATACGGTCAACAATCAGTGTTGTAGTCAAAGCAAACTTGCAAAGGGGGCGCCCTCTAGCTTTATTGCAATGTTCCCACGCTGCCGCACACTACGACAACAACAACAGCAGAAGAAGACAATTACGCTCGCTCAGCCATGACTCGCTCTCCTTAACGTTTGCTCTCTCGTAACTACTCTCAGGAACTGCTCTCACTCTCGCTCTCTCTCTACCTGCGCAAGCCGCTCACGCAGCCCCCGCGCCATCGCTCACACCTGTACAGCAGTAATGCGTGAGTGAGTATGTGTATGTGTGTGTGTGTTGCTAACAATGCTGTTGCTGTTGCTGCTGCTTCTTCTTCTTCTTACTCAATTACCAACAGAACTGCCTACGTACCTGTTTATATATTGCAAGCGGTAAAATTCCAATACCAGTTGAGACATTTTGTTAATATTTGCATTTGCACCGCACAATTTAACATTTGATAATTTTACAAGTGAATACAAAATATCGCATGTATTTTTACTTATCGAAATTTATTTAACGTTTATGCAGCTGAAGATACTCTCACTCATTCTCTCTCTCACTTACTCACTCTAACAGCAGCGAGCGACGGAACCTGACTGACAAACAGCGGAAAATAAGCGCGTTTTGGTCGAAAGGCGAATCTGGGAGCGTAGGCAAAGAGAGAGCGCAAGAGAGAGCGAAGAATGTCTCTGTGTTTGTGTGTACAAGTGTGGGCTGCCTACCTGAGCGCGAGTGTATGACAGTCAGTCATGCAGCGTGAATATCGTTAAAGGAATGAGTGTAATTACAGTGGTGGCAAATATATTGGAATGCTGCTAATAAATAACTTTATGTATGTCATACAAATAGGTGCGCAAGTGTAGTAAAACGCTTACAAATTATTATTTAAATGGCATTTAAGTATTATTGCACAATATAAAATGGTTTTAAGGATTATTGCACAATATAAAATTTAACATCCTGAAAAATAGACATATATATATATATATATATATAAATAAAGAATTGCACGAGTTTTCACAAAATAATTTCGTTCTTGAAACTACGACTGAGCTCCTTGTGCGGCAGGACAATGCTATTGAGCAGGATCTTCTCGGCGGGAATTTGCACAAAGCAGCCTAAAAACGAATTTCAAAAAATTAAGATTATGAATATATACAGATCAATATATATACCTAAAATGGTTATCGAAGGATTCAGTTTGCCTTCATTGTTGAACAACGGCGGATTCTCCATTTTGGCAAACGGTTTATTCGGATCCGGATCGCTAGGCGTGCCCTCGACGCGTGTCCAGGCGCCAATGCTGCAGCCCCGCCCCACAATCGAGTGCAGGATGAGCGTGTGATCCTTGATCTGTGCCTGCTCCAGCACAATCGATTCGCGTATTCGCACGCCAGGACCTATGATGACGCCAGGACCAATGGCCACATTGGGGCCGAGCTGAGGATGGAAAGAGACAAGTATTAACTTATATATATAATATACGAGAACTCATATGCCAAACTAAATCTCATAGCTCTAACGGGCAGAGTCGACACGAGTGTTGTCGCTGATCAAGGATATATACTTCATATATGCAAATACTTTACAGCTATATTATATATTATATACTACCATACTACATATTTGATAGGATTGGAGCTGCTTTTTTCTGCCTGTTACATACATTTTTACAAAACAATTACCCATTTTCAATGGGTTCAATGTATAATAATATAATATATATTCTTCTTCACACATACAGTCCACATTTGCGAGTGTCTACTGTCTACTCACCACCGCCGAATGATGCACTGTGGCACTGGGATGGACATAAACATCGGGGAACACGGTGCATATCAAATTGCCATCGCCCTCGCCACGTTTCTGGCCCACGTTGGCCAGCCGCTCGGGATGCGTTCGCTTGTAGAGATCGAGATAGTGACGATTGGCATAGATGGCCGAGCCGGCTGTCTTCATCTGTGACCACCAATTGGGCACCGGCATCGCATAGAGTTTATCTGTGCCCGCCAGCGGGGTGAGCACCTCCTGTTCCCACTTGATGTGACCCTGATCCTTGCCATTGCCATTGCCACCATTGCCACAATAGCTAATGCAATTGTATTCCTCGCATTTGGCGTGAAAGATCTGAGCGAGTTTCGTGAATATATCCATGGAGCAGACGTAAACACCACAATTGATGTAGGTTGAGACATAGGAACTGGGCTTCTCCACATAATGGGAGACGGCACCACTTTCCCGATCGAATACAAGACAGCCATAGTGCAGCGATTGCTGGCGAGTCGCCTCCGTGCTCATAATGGTGACCAGGGCACTGGCAGGACGCCCTATGTGGAAGCCATAGAGCTCCTGCAGCGGAAAATCGGCGCAAACATCGCCGTTGAGCACAAAGAAGGCGCGTGGATTGCCGGCCCGTATCTGATCGCGAAAGTGATACATCCCACCAGCGGTGCCCAGCGATGTGAACTCCTGCAGATATCTGGCGAGATTGAGAGAAGAAATCTGTGTTAGAAAAGTAAGTCGAGCATCTCAAGCGAGTAGCAGTTGCCCTGTGCATGATCTAGAACTATATCTGCTTGTGGTTAATGTTTGTACTCTCTGGAATCGCATGGATTTGATAGACAGCATTAATGACTTGTGTTCAAATAAACTTTTCACAATTATCTGAACTATATTTGAACCATAAGTTGATTAATTATACATTTCGACAATCACAGGGTATATTTCCACAGCACACGTCAGCTCTCTCTCTCCCTCCCATTCCTTCCCTCTTCCACACTAACCTAATATTAATATTGCTGCTGCTGTAGAGCGCCTGCATATCGCCGACGAATCCTTCCATTTGCTGCTGCGGATAGAAGCCGATGATGAGAATCTCGCGCAGCTCCTTCACCTGGACGCAGGCCTCGATGTGATGGGCAATCAAGGGGCGACCGGCAACGGGAAACAGCGGCTTGGGCGTATCCAGGGAGAGGGGGCGGAATCGTGTGCCCTTTTGGGGACCGCCAATTAGGATGACCGCCTTCAACATGGTTTAAGGTTGGACAGTTGTGTGCTATTGTTGTTGTACGTGTGCAGCTCTTATGACTAAACTTTTTTTCCTTCTGCTTACGCTGGGTATTTGTTATCTATTCAATTAAGCTGATATCATTTGTGTTTACGTTGCCAGCAATAAATATCGGTTATCGCGTTGCCAATAGTCATAGCCATAGTCAGCTGTTGCACACGCGCGTTGCCAACTGTTCGGGAGTGTGTGTGCGATAGTTGCATTCCATGCTGTTAATATATCGATAAGTTGCGGGCTATGCAGTAAGCAGCTGCAAAAATAGTAAGCAGCACTGGAGAAAAAAATCAAATCTTGTAATAAAATTGTTTATAATAAATAAATATAAATTCTTCATTAGCTTATATTATTTTATATTTCGCCGCAAACAATAATTCGATATGTATATATCGATATACGTGGCTGACATCACGCACTCAATAACGTCCCAGCACTAGCAGCAAATCAAACAATATTTCGATATTTGTATATCGATATACGTGGCTGACATCACTAATTCAATAGCGCCGCAGCCAGAATGGCGATGTAATTTTCGTCAATAATTTTCACAAAGTTCAGCAACGAAACCGCAAACAGACAGTGCTAAGCAGCCAAACAACTGACTGTCTGTCCAACGGTCAGCAGCAACTGTGTGACGGTCTGTGTGTGTGTGTGTGCGCGCTGTGTGTGCTGTGAGTGATGGAATCTGCTGAGCAACTCGTTGCAGCCGCTTTGAAGGGCGCCGCAAATCCGAATCATGAAATTGTGCAAAAAGCCGAAGCCCAATTGAGCGAATGGGAACAGTTGCCCGGCTTTTTTCCCATCCTCGCCAAGCTCAGCATGAAGCTGCCCGGTGAGGTGAATGATGTTGCCGGCGCAACTGCTGCAACCTTAACCGATGCGGTCAAAACACGTTGGATGGCCGCCGTCTACTTGAAGAATGGCATTGAACGCTATTGGCGTCACAATTCCCGTTTCGAACTGTCGCCGGAGCAGAAGCAGCAAATCCGTGACATACTTCTCCAGCACTATAGTGCCGAGGATGTGCCACAGGTGGCGCTGCAAGTAGCTGTGCTGCTCAGTAAAATTGCACGCATCGATTCCTGGCCGGAGTTGATGCCGACACTGATGACACAGTTGCAGGGCTGCGATGCGCAGGCGGTACTGCAACAGCAGCGCACACTTCTCATGCTGCACTACGTCATCAAGGCGCTCGCATCGCGTCGCCTGATGCCTGAGAAGCGGGCGTTCGAGGAGCTGGCTGGACAAATCTTTAGCTATATGGCTTGGGATATTTGGGCAACGCTCACCGAACGTTTTCTACAACTGATCAAGACTGAGCAGCAGCAGCAGCAGTTGCAGGAGGAGGAGCAGCAGCTGGCGCACAGTTGCCTACAGCGTGCTTACATCTCGTTGCGTACGCTGCGCAAGCTGCTCGTCTACGGCTGCGGAAGTAAACCGTACAAGTCCAGCGATCACATGAATTTCATTGAGAAGCTCTTCGAGCGACTGCGTCAGTGCCTTGAGCTGCGCTATCAGCTGCGTCTGCGTGCGGCAACAGCAGCAGGAGCAGCAGCAGCAGCAGTAGCAGCACAGCCCACCCAGCTGCTGGCGGATCTGGAGCGTTTCATACTGAAGATGATGAAGTGCCTGAATGAGTTTATGGAACGACATGCGTTGTCCTTTTCACGCTTCGTTTCGATGGCATTGGAGTTCAGTTTCCATTATGTATTCCATGAGGGCACCGCTCTGATCTTTGACAGCGGCGATCGCATCAATTTCAGCAATTTTGTCATCCAAGCCATCAACATGCTAAAGTACATCATGATGAGTGGCAATCATAATATTGCACCAGATGCTGTGGGCAGCATGGAGGAGGAACTATTGGCGTTATCCTCGCAAACCCAATCGAAATTTTTCAGCGTGGAGCGTGTAACGTATTTGTGTGAGAAAATTGTCACACATTATTTTCTGCTGAGTGCGGAGGAGTTGGCCGAATGGCAACAGGATCCGGAGGGTTATGGCCAGGACGATGGCGGCGGCGATGCCTGGAAATATGAGCTACGTCCGTGCGTGGAGACGCTCTATTTTACGTGCTTCACACAGCACTCGACGGTGGGGGAGCATCCTCATCTGAACTTAATGAATTCTAATCTTTTACTCTTCCAGGTGATGATCACAGAGGTGCTGAAATTTGTGCGTCGCGCCCAGCAGCTACAGCTGTGCGCCGAGTCCGAGCTGAACGCCATTCTGCTCAAGGATGCCATTTACAATGCTGTGGGCCAGGCTTCGTTTCATTTCTTCAATAAACTGGACTTTGGCACGTGGCTGACATCGCAGCTGCTCGCCGAACTGCGCATTGAGGCGCCCAATTTTCGCATCCTGCGTCGTCGCATCATTTGGCTGGTCGGCAATTGGGTGGGCGTACAGCTGCCGCGCGAGTTGCGTCCGCTCGCCTACGAGGCGTGTCTGCATCTGCTGCGACGCGAGGAGGATATGCCCATCAGATTGGCCGCTGCTCGCACTCTCAATTCGCTCATTGATGACTTTGAATTTATGCCGGAGGCATTTCATCCCTATTTCGCCGCACTCTTCGAGGCACTGTTTCTGCTGTTGCGCGAGGCGTGCGCCTGCGACACCAAAATCGTTGTCCTCGGCACCATGACGCTGCTCGTCGAAAAGATGAGCGAATTTATTGAACCGCAGGCCTTGCAGTTCATCGGCTATTTGCCGCTGTTGTGGCGCGAGAGCGAGGAGCATGAATACAACATGTTGCGTTGTGCCATCATTGGCACCCTGGAGCAACTGGTGCGCACCATCCGGGATGTGCCGGAGAGCATGAAGCCTTTCCTCTACAGCGTCATCGAGCTGAGCACAGATCTGCAGGTAAGTCGAGCACCGCTCCACAAATTTAAATGGCAACTGACTTTAAACTGTAAACCGCATCTGACTCTGACACTGACATCTGAATACAACTATATTCGACATCCTTGAAGCTATAACCTTGATCAGCCTTGAAACTAAGTCCACTTAGAAGCTAGGAAATAGATAATGTTAATAATCTTAAATTCAGAATTAACTTTTAAACTGGAATCGTTGATCAACCAATTGAGAAGTTTACAAACAAAACACATTTCTTCAGCTGTTATCGGCTGGCATTACTTCTTGGTATCGGAGTATTTCTCACTTTATATTTGTACTAACTAGGAACATGTACTGATTAATAATCGTTGCCTCTCTCTCATCCTTCTGCCAGCAACGCTCTCATGTTTACCTGATAGAGGATGGCATCATGCTCTGGCTGGCTGTCATTGGCAACTCGACGGCTCTGACACCGGAGCTGCTGCAGCTGTGCGATCATCTTTTGCCCATCATTGAGATGTCGTCGGAGAATCTGCGCACAGTGCTGCAATTGATTCACGCCTATATTCTGCTCGATGCGCATGTAAAAATCATAATTTAAAATCCAGTTTTTATATGTTCGATATAACTGATGTATTCTCTTCTGATTCAGGCCTATCTCAGTCGCTATGGCGAAGGCTTTGTGGCGTATTGTGTGCGCTCCTTTGAGGATATACGCACCGAGGGCATCATTGCCATGCTGCGCATCTTTGAGACGTGCCTCAAGACGGACGCCACGATGGGTTTGCGCCTGGTGCGACCCGCTCTGCCCTTTGTCTTCCAGCAGGTGTGTCTCAAACAGGAATATCCCATGACGATGAGCTGGTATCTGACGCTGCTGGCACGCACCCTGCTCATCGATCAAACGGTCTTTATGTCTGTGGTGCAAGAGTTGCCACAAACGGATGCACTGGCACGCATTCTCGACGTTTGGATTGATATGTTTCCGCTCGTTGCGGACACGCATGCCGAGAAACGCAAACTATTCTGTCTCGCCTTTGCCTCGATCTTTGGTAGCAATGAGTTGCTGCTCGCCCGCATGCCGCACATCTTGCAGCTTGTGGAGGAGACCCTCGGCGAGGTGATGGACAAACAGTATGCGGCTAGTGATGAGAGTGCGGACAAGACGACACCGAGATACTATGACTCGCTAGTCATACATGACGAGCACGAGCTGGAGGAGTTCCAGCCGCAGCTATACGATGACTATCACTCGAAGACCTATCATGACGACAGGCATCGTCAGCTGGTGCTCAAGGATCCCGTCTATAAAATCCCCCTAACCGAATACCTCAAATGGCAGCTGCAGCATCTGCAAACACAACTCGGCCCCGCACGCTACGAGCAACTGATGCGCTCCGTTTGCCCGGAGGTCATCGAGAAGATCAACATGTACATTGAGCAGACGGTGCCCAAGGCCTGCGTCGTTTGCGCCGGCGGCAGTGATGACAATGATCAGCAACAGCAGCAGCAGCAGTTGGCGTTAGATCAGACCAGCAATCAGACAGCAATCGACTAGGGATTAGCAAGGATTGCAAAGAGGGGGGATTCACACGCCCGACCAGTGCTGGGGCGTCGTTAATTGCTGTGCTTCAAAAGCTTTCTACCGTCTAAGTTATTAATGTATTTTGTATTGAAATTATATATTTTTAATTGTTAAATGAATCTGATGAAAAACGTGTGCATCTCCGCCGCAAGCTGTGTGCGCATCATTAATCCATAACCTGGTTTTCAGTCGGGGTTTTGATTTTTTAATTGTGTAAATCGACTTAATCCGTTAATAAACAGGCTTGCACCTGTTGTCAGAACTCCAACTTTAATGTGCTCTGCAATAAACACATTTTCTATATTTTCCAAGCGCTTCCATTTACAAATTGCATATGTTCAACTAGACTTGGCATTTTTAAAACTACCGCCAAAGTGAAAAGCTAAACGATATTCATTTAAAATCGATAATCGCACTCTGGCGAGCAATTAATCGAACTTTTCAAAACAACCGCCAAAATGCAAAGCAAAACGATAATCGATAAGCGCACAATTAATCGAATTCAGGCGCGCGCAATGAACGTCAATCGGACTCAAGGGAATCGAATGAACTGAAATCGAAATTCAAACGAACTAGCTCAATTTGCATAAATTCAAATAATAAGTTCGTTTGTTAAGTTTAGTTAATTTTATTGCTACAAACCTATTTAGTACATAATTCTTATGAAATACTAATTGGAGTTGGCAGCTAGTCGACAGCTGGTCTGCGTTCCATTTTGCTGCGCAGCAAATTCCTGATGGTCTCCTCCTTCTGCTGCAGTTTGTGTCGCAACTTGTCCAGTTCCTCGTTGTTGCGCAGATGCAATCCGCGCAGCTGCGACTCCTTGTGCTTGAGCAGCGTGGACAGCTGCTGCACTGCGTCGTACGTTTCCCGCATCTCCACCTGACCCGCTTCCAGCTTTTGGGCCCACTGCAGGGTCATGCGAAGGCGTGCCTTGAGTCGATCCTTGGCATGTTTCGCCTTCTCTGAGCTGCGCAGGAGCGACGCCGCCCGATTGTTGCTCGCCAGGAGCTGTTCCTCAAGTGCGCCACGCTCCCGAGCATGCTCCTGTTTGAGTTGCTCGAGCAGCGTTTTACACTGCTGCACTGCATCCGCTTCGCTGGCACTGGGAGTGTTCTCCGGAGGTACAATTGCCACCTCCGGCTTGGTGCTGGTCCTCAGTGTGACCAGTTCCGCTTTGCAGCGTGCGAATGCATCTTGAAGATGATTCATGTCCAGCAGCAGCGTCTGATTGCGTTGCTCATAGAAGTGCATCACTTCCACCAGTTTCTCCTTGACCAGATCTGTTTTCCGCGTCTGCGTCTCGGCCCTGGTGCGACAGACGCCCAACTGGGCCTGGAGGCGCACACGCTCCTCCTGCCAGCCGCCCACGTCGCGGCGCAGTTGCTCCTGCGACTGCAACAGACGCGTATTCTCCTCCAGGCAACGTTTCAGCTCATTGGCAAAGATCTCGAATTCGCTGGCATACTGCTGAAGCAGTGCATCCTTGTCCCGCAGCGATTCATCGTAAGCCTGCAGCAGCGGTGTCAACGTGTGCGTTGGTAATCCTGCTGTCCAAGCGGGCAGCGCGCAGGCGCCAGTTGGAGTGGGAGTGGGAGCGGGTGCATCCTCGGCGCCATTTCTACGCTGATCCTGATAGCATTCAATTTGCACATTCAAACGGAAAACCAACGTTTTCAGCATATCCACATCGTTCGCCAGTTCCTGGTTCTGCTCCTGGTAACCCGTCAGTTGTCGCTGCAGCTGCTGGCAACGGCTGCAGTTCACAATCTGCTGCTCCGCCTTGCCTAGACGCTGCTCCAGCTGCTCAGCCTGCAGACGCAGTTGCTCATTTTCACTCGCAAACTGCTCGTTGTATTTGTGCAGCGTGGCAAGTCTTTGGAGCAGCTGCTCCAGCTGCTGTTCCTTGGCCTGTAACTGGGCGAATGAACCATAAATATGTGGAGGAGTTGACTTCCCTTTGCTTACCAATCCGTTCAGTGTGCGCTCCTGCTTCTTTTTGCCAACTCCACTCAAGTCCTGATGATGCTCCACTTCCACACTTTTGGACCTACGACTGAAGTTGCCTGTCAATGTTTGCAGCACCTTTCGTTGCCTTTTCGGCTGCGTGGAGGGGCGAGGCAGCTTATCCGGCTGCTTCACCTGCTCCTGCTCGCTGTGATCCAGGTCTGTGATCATTACAGCTGCTCCTGTTCCTGGTAGAGTGCTCATCGCTTCAGTTTCAGACCGTTTCAATTGACAGCTTTTGCCTTGTTTTGGGTGATTTTGTTTTTTTTTTTGGGTGTAAACAAAACTCAAGCTGGGCGTTCGTGTCCTGGCCCCATGGTTGCCATGGTTGCCCACAGAATGTTTGACCCTGTTTTGAAAGTGACGTCGCTTAGGGGTAGCAACCACCACAAAATTCCGCTTGTACCAAAACCTAATTAGTCCTAATAATAATGTACCAAAAGTACCATTTTACATATTGTGAATAACGTTATTAAAAAGTCAACTAATTATTTAGTTTTCATTTTACTTTATGCTTCTAATTTAAGTACCTACACTGAAATTTAAGCTACAACTTAGACTTACAATTCATTTTGATTAATAAGTTGAACTAATATGCATTTAATTTACTAAAATTCCTAATAAATTTTTTTGTTTTATTTACATTTCATATTCAATTATCTTTATTTGTCTATTATTAATATGATAAGTAGTATTTTACAATACTTTGCAATGATTTAATTTTTACTTATTACTTAAACTTATTGATTTACTGCAAGTTTCTAGCAATAGTTAATTTAAATTATTTTAATTTGTATATATTATTTAAAAATCAGTTTCTTTCTCATTTTCTCATTTCATTCATTTCATTTTCTCATTTACTTTCTTCAAACTTACAGATAGTATGGATATAAAGCGTACCATTAATTTAAGATTGTACCAACCTTTGGTACATTTGTACCAGATGTACCAGCATGAATCTCAGCCCATTCACCACTGTGCGCGCTTTCCAATAGAAATGGAAGAGAAACTTTGCACAAACGAAGAGCGAGGAAAAGCTCGCAAGCTCTCTCTTAAATTGGTGCTCAGTTGCTAGTGGGGGTGTGGGGAAGTCTGCTTCATTCGCAGCTTGGGTTTCATTCGTAGGGGGGGTGGTGGAGGAGGGGGGGTTTTCGCCACTTGGTCCTTGAGCAACACATAAAACTAATGTCCAGGCGGGCAAAAAAAGAAAAGAAAGAAAGAAAAAAAGGGAAACTACAACTTGGATGCTCCTCGGGGCCCATTTCTCAATAAATGCGGCGACCGATGGGTGAACAACGGTCAAATGGGCCAGGTGGCCCAAAGGAGACCTAAAGGAGTCTCATAGCTGCCGCTTAAGTCCTTACTTGTGCCCCTTTCCACGCCACTCAAGTGTTTTTCTTGTTGTCGATTTTCGCGCTGTTTCATGTGCATTTTATTCGCTTGGCTGATTGCTGATTGCAAGTGGCGCATTTCTTTGCATCGGGAACTCAGCAGCAGCAGCAACAGCAGCAGCAGTTTTAGCTTAAATTGCATTCAAATGTGGCCATTAAGTCTTGGCCAAATGCCATCAGGCAACATGTTTTGAGTGGAATAATTAATCAAAGCTCAGCCATAAATATAATTTGGGTTAAGCAATGTTGAATGCAACATGAACAACATCGATTAAGGACATGTTAAAATTTTATTTTGTTGTGGAGCATGCAATGCTTTGAAGGAGATGACGCCGATAAGATTAAGATATATACTCCATATATATAATATTCATTTGCATCGCCAGCTGCTTCGATATAGTCCCTTAGTTTTAAAGCTATCTTGATGAAACCTGACAAATATAATCGACTTTTTGCTGTAGGTACTTATATATTTGTATGCAGAATTACTATATCGTGTTATGTATGTTATACTACTCACATTTTGATAAAACTACTTAATATCGTATTACTATATTATATAGCTGGCAGAGGAATAGTCGATCAGAAGTTTAGTGCTTATATGAAAAACTTGTTGTTTACCAAGATATCCACACTAAACTTGCCTAATATGCGTAGTATTATGCTTCTTAAATTTGCACATACTATATACTATATATCTTCCATTAAATCAATCGGTTTCTTATATTTATCTGTAGCTTTACTTCCTTCTGCAAGGGTATTTAAACTTAAGCGTGCCTAAGAAAGCCATTCAATCTTGTTACCATATATATATTTTGAAGACGACATAGATTCGTGTGTGTTAAAGAGATTTCATATTGTTAGATGCAAATCAAATATTATCGATTTTGAAGCAATGAATCAGCAGAATTGTATCCCATTCTCGCAATAAAATATAACTCCCTCAATTGCCGATGAAAATTGAAATCCGTTTAATGCTCTTGAACTCTTGACTTGACTTTTTTATTTATTTCTTCCTTGCCTTGACTGACAACTGTTGACGAAGGATGAATTCTCATTTGTTTCCCTTCTCTTTTTTTTATTGGCTTTTACTTTTGCGCAAAAAGTTTAATCAGCAGAAAGAACTTTCGTATATGTCAGAGAAACATACATTTTGTAATTTAACAATTTTCCATCGATTCACAGCTATTTATCTTTAAGCTGGGCATCTGTAATCTCATTGGACCTGGCTGGACCTCAGTTGCATCCGTTGAATGCATAATCAAGCATTCAATTCATGCTCGAAATCAGATATCATTTTATGTTGACAACAACAACAACAACCGGGAACAAACTCGCTCATTATGCAAATGGGAAAAATGTCCTCTCGAGTTGCAGTCATTAAACAGAATATACATAGAAACGAGCAGGAGTTGAGCTAGTGGGGAGTACGCGACTAGCAGATGACCTGTAGACAGCTGTGAGGTGAACTCAAAGCGAGAATAGATACGAGTTATAGATAGATATGTGTATAGATTGGAGGCAAAAGAAATTGAATCAGTGACTTGTATACTTTGAGCAGGGCGTCAAACGGAAAATGAAACTGCCATATTTGATTGATTAATTATAATTATTATTATTACTATTGTTAATATTTTTATTAATATTATTATTATTATTTTTATCTTATTCACCCATTGTAAAGCAGAATCCAAATCAAAATTCAACTTTTTTGGAGGAATTCCATACTAAGGATACGTCTATCAATATTCAAGGCTTTATCTATTAAATATTTACATTTCTTTAACAAGCTTGTTTTACCAATTTGTTTTATAAGCAGTCTTACATATGTTTATGTTCAACAGGGTATTAGAAATCAGCTCAGAAACTAATTCGCTGGAAAATTAAATCCAAGAGCAGAACACTCACTCACACACACATCATTTATATTTGCATTTGGTTTTATGTGTGTGTGCCTGCGTTTGTGTGTGTATTCATTATGTCATTTTACGCACTTCATAAAACAATGTCCGTGTCCGAGGCGCATATTGAAAAAATTCGCGACAAATTTGCATAAATGAAGCTCAAATGGCCAGCACACACAACAACACGCATATATATACATATATTATATACATATATACTCTGCCACACTCACGCAGGCAGAGTTAAACAGTTAATGTTTATTACCGTTCAACACTACAGCAGCGCCAGCTGTCGTGCTGCAAAAACTGCAAAAATCAACGAAGACCAATAGCAAAAATGACGAAGGGGAAAAAAGAATAAATAGCGCGCAAATTGCATGTGCGTGTGAAGGGAAGGGGGAAGGGGGAGTGGGGAATTGCGCTTTTGGCGCGTGATATTTTTCGCATAGGCCACAGCTGCAGTTGCAGCGCACAGCTGACAACCAAATTTGATTGCCGAATTTTCCACAAGAAGTTTTTGTGGTTGTCTGCTTGAAGGCCAAAATTTGCAGTTGCAGTTGTTTTTCAATTTCATTTTCGGCTTCTCTTTGTTCTAATTTAGCGTTGCCAACTGCATTACGTATGTGACTGTCTGAGTGTGACCAGATCTGTCTGCCTGTCTGCCTGTGTCTCTGTCTATCTCTGTCTGTCTGCAGTGGGTTTGATAACGAAGTTTTGTCATTGGTTTCCCCCCCTCACACCCCCCCCCCCCCCATCACACACCAACATTCGGTAGCACACAATCGAAAGCCATAAAGGTCACACGCGCACATGCAAAAAAGAGAATGTCGAATAGCATTCCCGACAGCAAGATGCCCTGTTTTATTGAATTTATAAGCGAATTCCTGTCAAAATTGTCTCTTCAAATTTAAATAGAGTATTAAGATAGAGTAATTTTAACTAAAATCTATAAAAATGGTGTTTTCAAATTTAAATAAGGTTTAAATATGGAGTAAGTTTAAATAAAAAAACTTCAGAAATACCTTCGTAAAATTATAAAGCATACTTTGTTGGGCAAATATTTTTCTCAACATTTCAAACAATTAGTATTAAAGACTCCTCACGTACATTTACAGGGTATACAGCAACAGACGCTATCTGTTTTTGCACCCACACCCAGCACACATTGACAGAATTTCAATTTCTTTGTCACTTTTGTATCACTCTTGTTGTTGCTGTTACTGTTGCCGTTTTATTGTTGTTCTTACTCATCTCTTCAATTCCTCCTCGCTCCACTCCTGTGTATACCTAATGCTCAACAAGTGTGTGTTCGCCTGCGAAGGGCGTTGATAAAGCTGCAACACAAACAGCAGTAACAACAACAGCAACAACAACTAGCGTTAGGTAACGGTTTTTGCTGCCTGGGATTGCCTTTGACTTTTATACTTTGCCTGCGTCTCTGCATCTGCTTCTCCTCTTCTTCTTCTTCTTGTGTTTCGTCATCGTCTGTTGACTTTCGGGGCAAAGTTTTGTGAAAATGGCGTTTTGGCATTTAGCTGTAAAACAGCAACAACAACAAAATGGCGTCCATTTAGCGTCTGTTTATTGTCTGCCCCTCATCCCTCCTCCCTCGACCAACCTATTTGCTTACTTTAAGAGATTATTTTGTCAATGTTCTTAAACATTTTAGTTTCTTTTCTGCATATCTTTCTTCCTTGAAGGACATCCGTTGCGCTAGGTAACAATCTAAATTCCTCTTGTAATTTATGTTGGGCGAGGGGTGAGGGGGGAGGTGGCTTTTGACTTATGCCGCTTACATGCTGCATTTGCGGCTGGTATTTCTGAATCGACGCCAAGGCATAAACAATGCGACGGCAAAGTTCCTGTTCCTGTTTCCTCATTGCTACGCTAATTTTACAAAAGCGCACACAGCAAATGGACGCCAAAAGGAAGCCAGCAACAACCTTTTCTCATTTCCTTTTCACCACCCAGCCACACACCGAGCACACACAAACAGACACACAGAC